TAGGTTTGTCTCAGGAACTGTAAGTGAGAGAGGCCCACGAGTGCACGAATTATACGCTAAACAACAACAACAAACAACACAAACAGCCGTCATGGTGCCAGTGCCCATAATCAGGCCATCGAACTATCTTTATGGACGAAATTTCGACGAAAAAGAAAATTATGAGATTTTAGGGTTGTAATAGTTGAGTAAAGCCACTAAATTCCAGAGATAAAAATGTAGCGAGTTCTAGACCAACAATCTATAGAGAACAAAGATTGTGCTCACCAGAAGGTAGGGCAAAGCCCAAACCAATTGCAGTACGGTTAGCTTGATCGGAGATGGCTTGGGTCGATGAGTCTGCAGAAGGAGACAGCCGGCTACCGCACACCAAGGCATCGTTTCATCCAGATAGGCATCAAATGAGATGCGTTAATAGATCCCACCGAGGCGAGAGAGTAGGAAGAAACTGTGTCGAGCGTCGATGTCGATATGCCTGATGTCAATCGCCCCTGAACCGCGGTGAACACTTATTTTGGAACTTTCTCGTTACTGGACATTAGGTAGTAGGTATTGACAACCGGTACATGAAACCACCACTTGGCGCATTTCCTATCAATACTTTCACAAAATTCGTTGATAATGCCTACGGTGAGATGGTGTTTGGGGGCAGGGTCGGTCCTATCGTTGGTACTTTTTGCAAAATTTTTACGACCCCCCTCCTTCACGAGAAGTTTCATACGACCCCCTCTTCACAACTACTTTTTCCCTCAAAAACACCGTCGAGCGCTAACCATGAAACCGCGAAATTTCCCTTTGTTTCCCTTCATTTTCCCCCATTCCCCTATATTTCAACTCTTCTTTCCATCGCTACATATTCCTAAGGGAGGGGGGGTATACGCACGCTGAAACGGCAAATTTTCTCCAGCGCGCTCTCATCTCATCACATGTTTCGTGCTACCTACGACCCCCCTCCAAGTCCATCCAAGTACGACCCCCCCCGTTGCTACTTGTAGCAACGTAGGGTTGACCCTGTTTGGAGGGTGCGCCGCAGTTCCCCTTCTAAGGTCGGTCACCTCAGAAAAAAAAACACCTCTCATTTGCTTGTAAGAGCCGAGGACTAAGCCTGTCTAACTATAGGCTTAAGCATAAACCAAATGTATGTCCCTATGCATAAGCTATTTCTTGCAAGGCTTAGCTACGCCTCATCCTAACGAGGAATGCTCAATTGGTCAGTCCGGCCATTTGTAATGAGGTGTAGTCCGCTGTACTCGTCTTGCGACGCTGAGCTCAAATCCGTTCTCGGTATCTGCGGAACGATTCTCTGAAAGAAGTTACGAGGGATTCTTCTCACTGTGGCTTTCTCACTATGGCGCCCTCTACATCCTCGCATCCCGCTTGCCACGCTCACGTTGAGCCGGTGAGGAGTTCTAGATGTGGTACTGGTGGTGCAGTGGATAGCACGTTTGCTTCATATTGGTGAGGTCAGATGTTCAAATCCTTGCGCATGGCAAACTTTTGCATTTTTCCAGGGCTCCTCATGCGAACCCAAAATGTGTTTATATTTGGATATTTTGTCGATTTGCGTCCCCATACATCTGTTATACTATACATCTGTTTTGTTTTGATCATTTTGTGAGGGACTATCATAGTTGCTCGTATAGCTGGAATAACTTTTCGAAATATTGTTAATTTAAGAGCTTCTGTGTGTCCAAGTTCATCTTAACGAAGAACTGAAAAAAATGAGCACGAGAAGGAGATTCCAGAGTCTGCCCTCTCCAGATGTAAAAGGGGGACGCAAATCGACAAAATATCCAAATATAAACACATTTTGGGTTCGTATGAGGAGCCCCTGAAAAATGCAAAAGTTTGCCATGCGCAAGGATTTGAACATCTGACCTCACCAATATGAAGCAAACGTGCTATCCACTGCACCACCAGTACCACATCTAGAACTCCTCACCGGCTCAACGTGAGCGTGGCAAGCGGGATGCGAGGATGTAGAGGGCGCCATAGTGAGAAAGCCACAGTGAGAAGAATCCCTCGTAACTTCTTTCAGAGAATCGTTCCGCAGATACCGAGAACGGATTTGAGCTCAGCGTCGCAAGACGAGTACAGCGGACTACACCTCATTACAAATGGCCGGACTGACCAATTGAG